GTATCGAGGGGAAGTGGTGGGGGGGGGCCACGCAGGCACTCTTGCACTCTGTCCCCATCAAGCCCAGTATCCCTTCATGCTTGTTTCTTTTCACCCCAGTTCTTCCCTCCTGTGTTTCCCTTTTGCGCTGGGCTGAGCTCGGCCCGGATGCTCCTCTGTGCATGCCCAGACACCGCTATGCCCCCCCAACTCGGGGCGGCTGAGCAGGGAGCTGTTCAGGAGGTGGCATCTGTAACTCCAGGTAGGGTGGAAGCACCACCGCACGGCATTCCCCTCGCGCACACAACTGCCGCCTTCCTGAAGACGCTGTTAGCAACCACGAAGACCACCTAGGCTCTTGGCTTCAACAGGAGGATTTGTTAATCCCAGTTTTCCAGCTAAATTCTCCACTCAAAGTTTGTATGTGATTTTTGCCTCCTCTCCTGGCTGCTCAGGGACACCTTTTAGGCAGCTACCTGGAACCACCCCAAATGCAGATGCTTTTGGGGGTAAAACCCAGGCTTTGGTCAGACTTCATGTTCTTCTAGCCGAAATCTAGGGGGCTGAAACAATGCACCCATCGTTTCGGAGAGCGCGTGGGTTGAAGTGGAGCGCTAAGTGCCAGGCTGGGGAAACAAAACGGAGGAAACGGCAGTTCTAGCACCGCATGACGAATCTCACAGGCCTTTCACTGCTCCTTCTCCCTTTTCCTCAATGGTGCCTTTCTCCAAGACAGTCGACCCTTTGGGCTGCCCTGGAAGGGGCAATCTGCAAGCTTTTGGCTGACAGATACTTCCTGAGCATTAGCTGAGCTGCGACTTCTCAGCCAGGGACCCGAGTGCTCGTGTTGCAAGGTTAGCAGTAAACGGAAGGGTGGCGAAGCATCTGGAGAAGGGGAAGGTGAGGGAGTTTCCAAGGCACGGATTAATTAAGGCGCGCTCTGTTAGCAGTTACCTGTTACAGCTCCTGGCAGAAACCATCTGTCCTGAGAGGAGTGGGCTGAGCCTGGGGGAGAAAAGCTTCCTGGAGGGATGGGGAGTGTTGCCGAGGTCCTGTGGAGCCCGGGGAGAGGAGGGATTCCTGCCTGTCCTGCCTTCCCGCCTGGAAACGGGGAGCTCCTCGCTGCTGGGGGTCAGCTGGGTGGATCGGGG